TCACGATTCGTCGTGCATCCTCAAACCTTGAAGTTTAAAAATTTTGCAAATTTGAGATAAATTATCATGCGTAACTTTCTTGTCGTTGATAAATAGTCAGTTTTGCCATTAATTGCATCTGTTTAGTCTATGAAGACTTGCCGTTTATGTGATTAGTCGTATGGTTATACAATATATATTGTCCTTCCATCCGAGTGCTATAAAATGTTTCGTTTTAGTCAGCAGAAAAATGAGAAAAAAAACGTAAACTAAAGAAGATAAATTCAGAGAAACAGTCAAACAGACAGACAAACAGACGAAAACGCGAGATCACTTTCTTCGTATTTTAGGGCTCATGAAACATCGAGAAAACATGAAACTGGCAGTCGCCCGATGGACTCGATTACTATACTTCCTTAGCTTATACTACGGAATTAAAAATTGGCCGAAGGTTATTTCGATAGAATTTTCCTTGTCCATAAAGAACAATATAGCATGAATTTTGATGTTAAGAGAACACCTATAAGTTAAAATAAAGATATATATGTAATGTTAAAGTAAATGTAAAGAAGCGTGCTACCCATCTGTTTCAAATGAGTTTTTTCTTTACAAATTTGGTGATGACGTCATCAACATTTTTGCAAGTGCACGTATGTACAGTATAATATACTAACAATAATAGTAGGTAGGTACTGTATTCCAAAATTTTCGGGAAAATGGGGATACAGTAGGGAAAAACCTGATTTAATCAATAAAACAAATTGACTCATTCATTAAGTTTTTTAAGACACCCTGTATAAGCAATTCTAAAAAATATTAATTTTGCAGGTTTTTGATAGGATTTAGTCGGCAAAATTTTCAGATGACCACATAAATCTTTTGGGGGATAAAGAAATATTTTTTGATCAAAACTTTATCATGCTTAGGATAGTTTTAAAACGTCTGCAAGATTTCAAAGCATTATTTTTGCAGATTCAAAATTAAATTGCAAGATGCTGTTATAAAATTTTGATTTTTTTCTGAAAATCTGAATGTTTCAGATAGAAACTTAACACGAATTCATAAACTACAGGTGTAGGAGTATGTTATTGTATCCAAGTCTTTGTATTCGAGGGGTTATGACACATCGAGGAAATATGAATATAGCCAGTCGCCTGATAGACTCGATTACAAAACTTACGCTCGAGAAGTAAAAATTCTAACTTAGCACTGAAATATTTTCTTGTGTTGTTTTCTGATGTGTACTCAAAAACGGGTCACAGTTTGAAGTTTATCAAAGTATATATGGGTAACTTGCATTGGTTTATAAAGATCTTGTGTGTAGGCTCAACAGCACTCCGGGGAATAACCTGATGGCTGGTTCATTCGACTATTTGAAATTTGAAGTCGAAAGCGGTAGATGCCAGTGGATAAAGTTGGCAGTCGGTGACCGTCCTATAGGCTCTTAGACCAACAACGAAGGTGCAAAGTTTAGACCAATTTGAGGTCAATTCTTCATAACAAAAGCGCTGAAAGCCAGATCTGAAAAAAATTGAATTTTCTGTGGTGTTTTCACATTTTGTTAGAGTTGTAATTTTGAAAACAAAAATATCGAGAGATCGATTAAATGAAAAAAAATACTTCATGTTGATCAATACAATTCGTCACTAAAATAAAATGCACTGATTTCGAAACAAACGTAGTTATTAGTTAAAAACCACAATTATATCCTAATTCATAAAGCTTGTATATTCTCCGTTTTAATTTCGTAGTTCTGAAATTTTGAATCAGCGGACATTAAAATGTACATAACAATTTCATGCAAATTCTTAACTTGGTAAAAATTTCAGTTAAATTCATAAGATTTGTTATTTCTTTGGAAGCACTATAGTGTAGGTTTTGTTGGTGTTAAAAGGTAAAAAGTAATCTTCTGGGAATATTTTCTAAATCATATTGTTACCTAGCTGAATAATGAGGGAGTAACCTATTTAGTATTTTAGAAATCGGGTAATTTGTTGTCTCTCCAAAATGGTACAACGTACCTTAGTTTTCTTGGCATGCTATAGGTACATCAGAAAAAACTAGTCATCTTGTGTTATAGTTGAACGTACCTCCTATCTTTTATCGTTTTCGAAAACACAGCAATAGAAAAAGATAGAAGTACTGTATTTACAATTTGAATGTCAATGTTTTTTATGCACAGTAATGCGAGTATAACAGAAAATAATGATTTCAATAAAATTAATAATAATAATAATTCTTAATAACAGTAATAACAATTTTGTTGAGCATAAATAAAGATGAAGAGATGGAAATACGATCCATCTCCGAACAAATTAGGAAAATCAATGTTTTCATTTGCCAATTGCATTTTTAATTTTTCACAGATCCTTTAAGAGTGAGATGGTATGGGGGTAATGTAAATCTAAGTAATTGTTGTGCAAAACATCGTCAGTTGTATTAGTTAATCTGATAACTTTTCTTCAGTTACAAGTTGCTATCTCTTCCGTACGGTTCTTATGCTATCCGGTATCCTCTCTTGATTAATTCACAAAACTGGCGACTAACGTTGTTTTCTCAACTCGAACTAAATAATTTGGTATCAGATTTAAATCCATTAATAGCAGATGCAAAATTGTTACTTAGATATCAATTCCGCATCTAAAAATTTTTTACTATTCAAAAAATGACATTTTAATAATGTCAATGTTACATAACAATTCTTCTTTGCATTTGCAAAGACAACTTGCTGTTATATTGCTATAAAACATAGATGTTTCTGCTCATATAGATTTCTTGAATACACTATATTTTTAGCAAAATTTTACTATAAAAAAGTGGATGGTTCCTTGGTTAGCCATCTGAATATGCAAAACTTTCTTAGTTTTTGAATAAGTGATACTCAGCAGTACTATTTAGTGAAACAAAAAAATATCAAAAAGCAAAGCTCTTTCCAAAAATCCTGTGAGCACATGGATCTTTGAACAATTAAATCGCAAAGGCATGGCTAAGTGACAATTTGTAATAATTTAAGAACAATCCAAACACTGCGTCCCTTTAAAAATTAAAAAAACGGAACGTCATCAAAGTTTCGAATCTTGCACATAAACGGACAAGTTGCAATTTTCTATTTTAAATTTTCGACTCCTTTATTAGGATGGCGGTTAAAACTGCCAATAGTGACGGTATCATTTTATGTACCGAGTGTAGAATCGTTTTTGGAACACGCAGGGATTTTACAGAAACTTGAAAATATTGACTTCCCTAATTATTTTAGGGCAAAACAGTGAATACAAAAATTATAGATCAAAAAAATTGTGTCTAAATCCTTTGTTATTTATTTTGTAACATATGTGTGATAAAATAGTATCAGCTTGGAAATATGATAACTAATTCATTGATAGTTCATTAATTCACTAATTACTGAATTTTTCCTCTTTTATTTTTGCCAACTTATTTGGGAAAATGGTACTACGGCGGGTAGTTAGTCCGGGAACTTTCAGGAACTTTTGCAACAATTTACATGCATGGACAAATTCCAGGACCACCCATCAATCGAAAAAGTTCTACAGGTTTTGCCAAAATTAGAAAACCCATCACTTTTTGGTTTCAGTTGTTAACAAAAAAACTCCAATGGTGATTTTCATATTGTACCATTCAAACTTCAACGAACGTCAAAGTTGTCACGAAACACGGAATCAAACAAATTAAGTCAATTATATTAACGTTTGCAGAATTTGAGTTTACTATCTGTCTTTAAAATGTTTTGAAACATCAAAATCCTTCCAAAATCTGCAATTGACCATAAATTAGTTACAACCTAAGTATCTTTGTTTTTCCCCCATGTCAATCTTCATATTTAATGCTACTGTGTTGTCAGTTGTATTTTCGAGGCAGAATGCAGTGTTTGTGGTTTAATTTTATTTAATAAACTTCAACGAACGTCAAAGTTGTCACGAAACATGGAATCAAACAAATTAAGTCAATTATATTAACGTTTGCAGAATTTGAGTTTACTATCTGTCTTTAAAATGTTTTGAAACATCAAAATCCTTCCAAAATCTGCAATTGACCATAAATTAGTTACAACCTAAGTATCTTTGTTTTTCCCCCATGTCAATCTTCATATTTAATGTTACTGTGTTGTCAGTTGTATTTTCGAGGCAGAATGCAGTGTTTGTGGTTTAATTTTGGCAAATACTGTACAACAGTTTGAAACCTAAGGTTGCACTGTAAACAAATTCTGCAGGTGCCAACAGAACATTCGTGGTGCTAGTGAAGAAAAACTGAAGCTGCTCTTGTGTTTGAACATTTAATTTAATTTATAGTTGCAAATAAAGCATGTGTTAAAGCTTGTTTTGAACCCAAAATCAAAGTAATGAATTTAAACTAAATCATCAAAATGTCAAAGTAATGAATTTTATTATGCATTTTGAACTTTTTTTCTTTTTATTTCAATACCACATGATGTTGCAAAAACAATAAAGAATGATTTAGATACAGTTTTTTATTCGCTATAACTTTTGTATGTAACGTGTTGATCAAAACTAATTTGGGGAGCCGATATGTTCAAATCTGTTTTTACATGAAAAATCCCTGTTCTCAAAAACGATTCTACACCCGGTATGTGTGTTGATCTCATCGTCGTTAATCAGAGAATTGCAAAGTAACAGATATTTTGTAATAATATCTAATTTTCTGTAATTGTAAATAAAATAACGGTCACAATGTTCATATTCCAGCAGAGGTCGGGCGAAAGGTGTTACATTATGTATGGTTTCGGGTGTTTGTAACAGAATGTCCAAATTCTCTTTAATTTTGTCGCAATATTTTAACAGTCAGCCAAGCTTTTGCCTTGTGTCCTTTTTCTTTGAATTTTACCAAAGCATGAGTAACAGTCATGAGGTCGCGAAGATCTCATACGGAGGCTAAGCGACGAACACCACTCCGGGGAATAACCCAGGCTGGTACCTGGTGAGTAATCGTTCGAGGTGTCGTCAAGGCTACGTAGTGTCAAGCAGTAGGTGCCGGTGGGTAGGCAGACTGGATGGAGTTTTGGTAGTCGGCGTTCGGAGTCGGGCATGGTCCCGACGAGCTCGGAGGCAAGCAAGCAAGGTGCAAAGCCCCGCTTCAAGTCGGGTCAGTTTTTTGTGATAATGTGTGATATTGATTCGGGTGCAGCAGGCCGGCGCGATGCACGTGCATAGGACGGAGGGGGTGAGGTGGGTGGTGAAGTGCAGCCAGACGGGCAGAGAACGGCGGCAACAGCGCGGCGGGCTCCTCATCTCGCGAGATCGAGCCATGAGGTCGTCGGCAGCCGACTCCGACTCCGCCGACCCACCAGCGTCTGCATCCCCGCCACCTCCGAGCCGAAACTTGGGCGAAATCGTATGCAGCCGGCTCGGCTGTTAATGCCGCTCGTCGTGTCCGCGTCGCCCCAATGGATGCTGCCGAGGCCGCGGCCGCTGAAGCTGCAGCATCGCCCCCGAGTGCATCGCGCGCGCTTCGCCCTGTGACAGTGCCATGTGGTGCGTGCCGGTGCCGTGCCCCCTGTGAGTGACTGCGAACGTCAACGTCAACGTCAGCCGCGACCGCGATAGTCTCCACGACGGAATGGCCATCAACTTCTCCGCGTCGTTCGCGGCCTGTCTGGCGGCCGGCCTCAAGGTGCCCAGGCAGATCATGTACTGCATCTCTCAAGGTACAGCAGCTCTCCTCTTCGGCGGCACCATTGCACGCACCGCGTCGCCCGCCATCGGGACGCACACTTCCGCTGACCTTCCTTCCTCCGGCGCTCCTTTTGTTTTCTTGTTTCTGCGCGAGAAGCGCCGAAACGAACAAAAGGAATTTGCGAACTTAACACCACTTCGTGATGCTGTCTGCCGTCTACCACGTTCTTGATGCATTATGCATGCGTGCACGCCGTTGCCCACGCAACATTTACCACTGCACACACTTCTTCATTTTTTTTAACCGATCTATTTTGACAGTCGGTCACCACCAGCGAACTTTTGACTAATTAATTGAGCGATGTAGGTGCGCAAAGTTATTAATTCTGCTGGTGCACATTTATGCAAGGTGTCGACCTGGCGTCGACAGTTAAAATTTTTCTTACATTGAAACATCGAACGATGAGAAGAAATTTATACTTAAATTATCTCTTTCATTTGAATTATTAGAAGAAGTGATGATGTGGTCGAGGTGAGAAAAGTATTTTCAGAATTTCCGGTTCGGAACATTTCCATATCTTCGAAGACACAAGTCACCCGTCTTTAATGTTTCGCGTTTCATATTTCACCAAATGATTGAAATAATAGCTTTTAATTTACAAATAATATTTCTTTAGGACTCCAGAAATCTATGATTGCCGATGTCATTTTGAATTTATTGAGGAGAAGCAGACCGCAGCTAGTGTAGCATCACAAATAAAGGTTAACTGAGGATATCTTGGATATCTTGCTTTCAAGAAATTAAAATTTAAAATTTGGAACAAATATTAAATTTCAATTGCAAACTTACTTAAGTGTTGTAAGAAGTCACTTGCGCACTTAAAAGTATCGCCGAACTCTCCAGTTACTTATTCGAATATTTGAACTGCAATGTCTCAGTTTTATTTTGCCCTGATAATTTTCCAAAATGGCAGAGGACGATCCGGATACCTGGAGTCTTTCGGTTCCAAAAATTTATTTAGTTTAGTGTAGCAATAATTGTGCGGACTTTTTGATTTTACCATTAAATTTATAAGAACACCTTTATTAACGCTTAACACCTTTGGCAGATTTTTTAGAACTTTTAGAATGTAAAAGTTTTCGTCAAGATTTTCTTAGGTTTTACTATCAATTTTGTCCAATCACCAGAATACACGTCAATTCCCCTGACCACTTTTGGATTTACACTAACTAAACTTTTAGTATAAAAGGATTGCAGTTTTTTTTGGCAAGTTAGCCTCAGTCTGCATTATTTTTAGCTCCGGATAACTAACTCTATCTGGTGGCGATACATCAAACTGCACAATTAAGAGTTTGATTCTTACTTTTGTCTATTTCGACGAAAGCATTTATTTGACAAACTTATGTTAGAACCTGAAGATTTATCAGGCATTTACATTTTATGGTAAGAGTTAATCATTGTTATTGTCCATATATATGTCTATTCAAAATTTTCATATTCTAGATTAATACATGCTTCTTTAATCAATAAGAAACCCCTTTAAAATCCTTTGTTTCCGTGATTTTCTTTATTTGTATTGGGTGCTAATCTTTAGAGATTATGTGTGGGCAGTTAAGAATGCTTGTTAAAAATACTGCTTTATTAACATTATTATTCAAAACAATTATTATTAAAGTTGTTTCCATATTTATTGTTACTTACTTGAAAGTGTTAACATACGGTACAACAGGCAAATGTTAAAAATGATTATGTAGTAAATTTTCGTTGCACGATCTTGGAGGGAAAAGTGACAAAGGTAACACATCTTGAAATTCTTAACAGCATGTTCCGCCTATTTAATATTATAAAAAAAATATATTTTTACTGTATTTTGGTTTAACACGTCTTTGCAAATGTGCCCGAAATTTGCCATCGTCGCAGTTTTTTCTCTGTACCGACCATACCGGAATAATGGATGATTGATATCGTAAAAGCATACAGAATTTGAATCACTATAACATTGATTAATTAACCAATAAAATGGGATCTTTTGTCGCTACAGTACCGAAAATAGGTGAATGTTGTTTATCTTTTCTTGTATTGATTTCTAGTCTGAACACAGATTACAATAATAAAATAGTTACTTATCGACAACCTCTTCTACCAGTGGTGTGGAGGTGATGATTTTTCACCACTGTTTTGTGTCTTTTGCTTTTTCTCTTGTTTGTCTTAGGTGATATTTTATATGTGACTTTTTTATATAATTTAGGGTTCTATGTTGGCATATTTTCTAATCAGTATGTGTAATTTTAAATATAAAAATCCTGGATAGTTAAAATTTCGTTGGCCAGGGTTGTTTCTAAAAAACAGAGCGACTGTATTGTGTCTTTCTTTAAGGCTACTACTACACTTGGATTTTTTTAAATATATAATAAATATAAATAATATATGATAATATGATCGAGAGTTGGCATTGCAGCTGTCATTAGTGTTCTAGTGAACAAATCGGTAAGAAGGAATCATTTCAAACAACTATTTAATTTTGTAAAACTTTAAGAATCAACAGTGACTCAGAATAGTTACTTAACCTAAGTTATTGTCTTGAAAACTGCTTGAAAAATTTTGGTATACATTTTGTTTCTCTTCTTTATTAACTTCTTATAAGTAGTTATTAAAACTGATTGTTAAAAGTTGCCGAATTTTGTTCAAAACTGTTTTGTACATGAAAACTTGAGTGATTTCTTAATTCAATTTACTTTTCTTATTTTAATATCACTACCGCAAAGAACACTGAAAATGAATTAAAAAAATTTAAACCTGACATATCATTTTTGTTTAGTTTAAGATCTTCACTTTTCAGGTGCACTTACCAACTGTTTTTAAAGAGAAAATATATTTTAAACGAACTTATCGTATGCAGAATGATGTAAGTTATGTGTTTTTTTTCTATAATTTTATGTACCTAAGTACTCTTTAACAAAATAAAAATACAACTGGGCTTTGGCCAAGCAGATGCAATTTTATTCATGTATCCGCCAGTGCATACAACTTGTTTATTGTCTGACTGGATTTCTTTAATACAAAATTAGACACCTAATTGTACACTACCTACGTTTTGTAGCTTCCTTTATACAGAAATAGTTCTTATAGAAATCCATTACTTGTTTGTGTAGAGATTTAAAACCTTTTAGTACATAACAGATCTGTTAATTTTAATGGTACTGAACAAGTATTAGACACTGAACCAAGCAACTTGTACCAATACGCAAACGTGATTTTTTTTGATAAAAAATTAGCAATTATGGTTAACAGATTTGGTAATCAAAAGGAACCACAGAGTATGAAATAAATTACAAATTCTAGCGTAAAAATGTATTATAAGATAATTTTAATATTTTTATTTTGTAATTGTTGTTTTTATGATTTTTTTTAAGTATCTGGGTTCAGTTTAATATGTAAGTGTGTACCTAATAATTTTAATACCAATGAAAACTTGTTTATTCATAGGTGTTCAATGTCCATAAAACATACAAAACCCTTACTAGGGAATACGTTGAGCAAATCACTTCTTCACTGTGCTAATGTCAAGCAGTGAAAAAAATATGGATTATTATATTCAGCGTCGAATCAGTTTTGTTTGTTTAAATTTCTTTTAATATAATATGTTACATTGTTCAACTAATTAATTGCCTACACCGATTTCACAAAACAATTACATGCTATTTGCTGTTACCCAAAAATCGGTGCAGTTGCGAGTTCCTTGATACATTTATGAAAACATTTTCAGGTACTACAGTAAAGCGTATATTGTTGCCCCATAAAATAAAGATTCTTCTACAGTAGACCTGGCGACACCGCTCGATAATAATCAGCACCATACATCTGAGGTACGTTGCATAGTTCGAACTTACTCCAGATATTGAATTAACAACTAGAATACTATCGGTAAAAACACTTGAAAGGAAAAAGTGAAACAAATAGTCACTTATAGAAAATAAAATTGTAAAATATGAATGGAAAGCAGGTAAAGTTTTTGAAGGTAACTGAACAAAAAGTTGCAAAAACTGGCGTTAATAGTAATTTTATAACGTTACTTGCTCACGGAATTGTCATGATTTTAACCAGAACTTGTTTTTATATTTTTTGATCTGTGCAATTATTTATATTATTTGTGAATTTTGAACCAGTGAAACTAATGGTGACATAAAACATTCAAATTTAACATTACAGTTAATTTTCATATACATTTTTACCACTTTTTACCTTAGGTGATTATGAATTCAACAATTAAAAACCTGTTTATTAATGTCGTCTGGAGGTCTATGCTTAACCATGCTTTTATTTAGCGGCGACTGGTGAATGTGTTAAAATTTGTGCCTGTATTTAATAAGTAAATTCAAAATGTATTGGTTACAATATATTATAATATACACGGACGTTAATACTCTTTGTCGTCTTTTTTATGATAAACTTAACTCTGTGCTTGATCTTTATGTTCCCAAAACTTGCCGACTACACAATTACTCTTACCCTCTCTGGTTCTCTTCTGATAACATAAAAAAAGTTAAAATCAAATGGAAGCTCTGGTGCATCTACAAAAGATCCCATAGTGACTTAGATCTGATTAATTTTAAAAGAATTCGAGCTGAATTGAAGCGTGACATTAAACTATCGTATGCCAATTATATTCACAATTTGGAAATTAATATTAACTCGGATCCTCGCAAGTTTTGGGCTCATGTCAATAATATTAAAAAACGTTCGGGGATTCCTTCTCAAATGAGCTATCTAAACACATCTCTGTTGAATCCTCAAGACATTGTAAACGCCTTCGCCGAACACTTTAGTGACAGTTATTCTAATCTAGCACATGTTGATTTTAATAGTCTTGACGAAGATCTCAGCAATATTCCAGTTTTTGTCTCTGCTATTGATGAATCCGATGTATTAGAAGCATTGAAAAACATTAAGTCTAATTCTACGTGCGGTCATGACGATATTCCGGGTTTTCTTCTTTCAGACTGTGCTACTGCATTTTCTCGGCCTTTGACC